CATCGTGCTTTCTGAATTCAGGCGACCGAAGAAATTCTCCGGCGCCGGTCCGGCTACCTATCCCCTCATCGGATGCCTCATATCCTTCTACAAGAACAAGCACCGGTTACTAGATTGGTACACAGAGTTACTAGCTCAGTCCCCCACCAATACCATAGTGGTTCAAAGGCTTGGTGCACGTAGAACCATTGTGACTGCAAACCCTCAAAATGTTGAGTACATACTCAAGACAAACTTCAACAACTTCCCAAAAGGCAATCCCTTCACTGAGATCCTTGGTGATTTCCTTGGCCAGGGGATTTTCAACGTGGATGGTGAACTGTGGCTTACACAGCGTAGAGTTGCGAGCCATGAGTTCTCTGCCAAGTCCATGAGGGAGTTTGTCATGCACACGTTGGAGAGGGAAGTGTGTGAGAGGCTTTTGCCTATGCTTGACACACTGTCTGATGAGAACAAGGTGGTTGACTTGCAAGAGTTGCTAGGGAGATTCTCATTCAATGTGATCTGCAAGTTCACACTGGGGACTAATAGGTGCTGTTTGGACCCTTCTGTCCCTACTTGTTCCCTTGCAAGGGCCTTTGATGTAGCTGCAGAGGTGTCTGCGAGGCGTGGGGCAGCACCTTTGTTCATCATCTGGAGGGTGAAGAGATGGCTTGCTGCTGGATCTGAAGGATTGCTTAAAAATGCTGTTGGGGAGGTTCAGAGTCATGTCATGAGAATGATTCAGGAGAGGAAGGAGAAGGGAGAGGAGAGTGAGAAAAATAGTGGTGTTGAAGATCTCTTGTCAAGGCTTATATGTGCAGGTCACAAGGAGGAGTTGATTAGAGACATGGTGATAAGTTTCATTATGGCAGGGAGGGACACTACTTCAGCAGCTATGACATGGTTCTTCTGGATACTGTCACATTATTCCCACGTGGAGAAACAGATAGTGGAAGAGGCAAAAGGGGTGTTGGATTATGAATCACTGAAGAATTTGAGCTTCTTGAAGGCATGTTTGTGTGAGTCCATGAGGCTGTATCCCCCAGTGGCATGGGACTCCAAGCATGCCAGTGACGGTGATGTGTTGCCAGATGGCACTGTGGTCAAGGCAGGAGATAGGGTCACATATTTTCCCTATGGAATGGGGAGAATGGAAGCTTTGTGGGGGAAGGACTGGTTTGAATTCAGACCAGATCGATGGTTTGTGGAACCAGGAAACAGTGAGGGAATAACGTTGAGTGAGGTTTCTCCTTTCATATTTCCAATTTTTCAGGCTGGTCCAAGGGTGTGTCTTGGCAAGGAAATGGCCTTCATTCAAATGAAGTATGTGGTGGCTTCAATTCTAAGCCGATTCAAATTTAGAATTGTTGGTCCAGAGAGGCCTATATTCGTGCCACTACTCACGGCACACATGGCTGGCGGCTTAAGAGTATTGGTTTGTAAAAGGGAAAAACTGAGTTAGATTGACTCAGATTTTTAAATTCCATAGAGTCAGATATATTTTAATCAAGCCACTCCATTTTGTATTCCCTTTTCTCTTCTCATATTGAGAACTAAGTGAAGAAGGGAAAATAGTTGGTACACCCCATATCAAAATAAGTTTAACTTTTTCTTTTTGTCATCTGTTCCAAAAACTGTATAGCAGATACTGAAAGTAATAAAATTTTACTTACAACAAACACCGTTAAGTTTTGCTTTCTGTTTCTCGGGCAAAGAGAATTATTGGTTGTAAGCAATTCTCACAATGAAGTTTTGCTCTCCACACGTGTTCACCAGCTTAACCTTTGTCATTTTACATGTTCATCAGTGTGAGCTCAATTCCTGCAAAACCTGCTTTGTTTTTATTTGACTAAATTTCTTTGAAATCTGGTCAGAATATTGCACATGCGTAAACCAATTGATTAAGGTAACCACGTAATTAGCTGATTTTAATATTTTATCGTGTTACTGTACGATGTGTTTAAAGCATTCTTTTAATTTTCTTAAGCACATTGCTTGATGTATACAATTCATTGGTAGAGAATCTTAGTGATATTATTGTTGGCCATTAACTCTTGATTCAATTGTTTATATGTTTTGTCCCATGAAATGGTGATTGGATGTAAACTTCAGCCGAGGGAATAGATTTCAGTGAAACTCTCAAGTCAATGTATTGCTTATGCATTATACCCGAAGACTAGAGTAGATTGCTGCATACCCTCCATTATCAGTTTATAGATTCTATGACTTATTTTAAAACCTCTTTGGGGGACCAAAGAAGCACCCCTTACAATGTTTTTTCACATCAGATCCCAAATAATTACCCTGGTAAAGAAAATGATTAGTAAAAGCAGAGTGACTCATGAGAAAACAAAATAACTATAAGCTATTTAAATTAACAATCCAGGCCTCAAAAGAACAACATTGTTATTCCTTAGAAGCTTAAATGCAGGTAGTTGAATTTCTTTGAATCCTCTAAGCATATAACTTCCATTTTACTCATATTTTCGGGAAGGGGAATTAGTATGCTGATAAACTTCCTGACTTTGGCAATAGACTCCAGAGTTTTTCCTGGTTCTTTAGGATAGATTTTCTCTACCACATTATAGGCTTTCTTTAGTGGGTTTTCTAATTTATGATAATTAGGATGCTGCAAATGATTGTTGTTTTTTGGGGGGGTCAACAACAAAGTTGGGACCATAGTGATGCTTTAGCACTTCATTTCATAAAAAAATTTAACAATCAATAGTATGTGTAGGAGATACTTTAATCAACGAGGGAAACATGCCAATACTAAGTTGCAAATGATATATATTTCCTCTTGATCCTTGGATACCCCATGTCTCCATCTCTCTAGGAGGGTTACCTACAATTTTAGCACATGGAACTCAAAGAGTATTAGAAGAAGATGGGATCATAATCAGAACCTGAGGAGGATAGCTAGGAGCTAGTCTCATAGGTTCTTCTTCATCAAGCTTTTAGGTAATCAATTAAAACAAATCAAGCTTTTAGGACTACTTGTTACTATTTTTAGCCCCTGTTTAACATTTAGCCAGCTTGTATAACACAGTCTGCAAAAAGATGATTCATGCAACAATTGATATGATAGAGGAGGTTGTGTAGAAAAAGAAAGAGAGAAAAATAGGAGATATCAATGGAGTGTTTATACTGTTTGGATGTTCAAAAGTCAAAAACACTCATGAAAACACAAGTTTATGTATTAGAGACTTACTATCCTAAAGTCAAAAGTATAAAAAAATCTATTCTTGTCCGCAAAAAATACACCATTTCCATTAATATCAAGATTATTATTAGACTTCTTTGTCCACTACAATTGAAATGGTCCTAATAGCGTTTATTTATAAGTTTAAACAATATTAAGGGTGACAATGAAACTACAACTACCATATTACTTTAAAACCCTGGAAAAATTCAATACAGACAGGCGTAGACAAAAAACTGGAACGTGACAAAAAAAAAAAGGAATAAAACAAATAGAAAATTGAAACCACAGTTAATGACTATAATAAGAATTGGGTCGCTATGACACTGACAAGAAGGTTTACCTTCCCTCTCAGTTTGCACACTTTATTGCTGTGGACAAAACAGAAGCAAAGGGTTCTAGAGAGCACTTGACCATTTCCATCCATACTTTTCAAATCACGTTAAAGATATAAATTAAAAGATTTAAAATTATAACGGGAGTTTAATAACATTCGAGTATTTAATAAAATAATATTTTTATAATATAATAAATTTATTAATGATAATATTTTTTATGAAAAATGATATAAAATGTTGATATAATTATGTATTTATAATGAAAATTACAAAAATAAAACAAATAATTATTAAAATAAGATAAAAATATAATAAAATAATTATTATTTAAAATTGAGATAAAATAAATTAGATTTTTTATAAAAAAATTAATTCTTAATAATTTTTTTATCATACCCAAAAATTTGACTTATTTTATCAATTTTGTTCAATTATTTAGAAGTAGTGAATTGGTTTCTGGAGGTTCCAACTAGACTGATTATACAGGTCAGTCCAATTTTCAAAATTTGAAAATTTGAATGACACAATTCTTGGCATGTTTGAATACCACCAACGTCATGCAATAATGGGTAGATTATAAGAAAAATGTTAGTCACACCCTTTTTTTAGTTGGTTGAAATGAGTTTCACAAAATAAAGAAATACCATTATCATCCACGTGGCATACGTTCCAAATTCCAAATCAAGTTTCTCAAGAAACGTTAGGAGGTGAATGCATATATCATAAACATAACAAGACTTTGAATCACGAAAGTTGAAGTCGGAAAGGTGAAGGCAGGTAGAAAACAAATCTATGTGTATGAGAAATGGCGAAATTGAATAGGATTATAGGTGTATGCAGAGAGAAGAAAGAATGCGAGAAGGAGGTGTAAATGTGCTTTGTCTTTGCCTCATTCACATTAGTATCTCTCGATACCATTTTACGTTCGTGTAATATATAAAATTCCAAGCCACGTGCTATTGAACATTTTAGTCCCAAAACTAGGGAGCAGAACAGAACATCACCCGAATTTTAATGTATAACCAACTTGGATTCACATTTTTCTATTTGTCTCTAACAATATAATTTAATCCACTGAACACTGATTGATTACAAGCATATTTGAAATAACATAAGCTCTGACAGGAGAGACGTCGTTACAAGTCAAGTATTTTTAGTTAATATTTACTCTAATAACATTCAGCAACATATAGACGAAGAAAGAGTCATGGCATACAAAGTTTTCTTTTCTCCATTTACCTTATCCGCCATAAGACAACTTAAGTCTGAAATCTGAAATTAATTGCTGTACACCAATCCTAACTATCAAGTCAAGGACATTGCTTGCACTTTTCTAACATATGAACTGCAAGGCAAGTTGCAGCACTGAAACAACTAATAAGTAATTATCAATTTAAACCATCAGAGCTTCCATGAGCTCATACGAGCCATGTACAATGACCAGCATGGAAGAGTAGCAATATCTAAAACTCCAGGTATCATGTGCTCCCAGGAGCATTGCTTCCTGCTGCTGGCTTGCGATTCAAATAGCGAACGATAGCATCCTCAACCCTGTTGAAGTGTCAAACGAGGGTATAAGCACAGAGCAAAATGAGAAAAGTATAATCATGATCTTTTCAGTCATTTGAATTTAAATAACATCATATAGAAGGTGCAAGGAAAGTGCATGCATCCAACTAAAAGGCAATTCCAGTTATCATCACCTTTTTCTTAAGGCAATTTATGGAAAGGAACTATCAATCAAGAAATTTTAGACCTGGATTTGAATCATGTTGGCTAAGCTAATGATAGTCCCTAACAAACTAGTGGCATGTTACAACTAATAAAATGAGTGTGCATAGCAGACAATCTAGAAATGAAGCAAATATTGAATGGTCTTTTTGTCTTTTAAAGTGTACATTTTTTCCTAGTTAATCCTTGAATGTTAATAAATAAATAAATAATTTAACTTCAATCTTTCATGTTGGTCTTTTGTTTTAAAGAGTACTTACATTACATGTTATCGTTAAAATATAATTTAATCCTTACATAACAGAAGGACAAAATTGCATTTTAATAATAAATTTAATGATAGCATGTTAGAGGGACTAAATTTCATTTTACCGATGGCATGTAGGGACTAACTTGAAATGAAAAATGATTCTGAGAGATTTAAGTTATTTTCAATTCAAGAACTTTATTTTAATTTATTTAAATTTAGGATTAAATTGAAACTTTTATATATTTTAAAGGACCAAATTGGTCGCTCTCGAGAAACAAACCAACAAAATGCAATGAAACAAAAGAGGAAAATGGTATGCAAGCTTACCATGGTTGCTTAAGGAAATCTGATTTGCGCTCCTTTTCAGCATTCTGACCAGATTCTCCAAGTAAAACTTTCAGATCCTTGTTTTGAGATTCAACCAGGGCCTCAATAAATTCCAGAGGAGATTGACTAAAACCAGCAAAGAACGCCCGCCTCCTGCGGTGCTCATGTATTTTTCTAATGATTCCGCATATGGATTCATCAAAAGCGTCAATCTCTTTGTTCCTCTCCACATTGGCCACCAGAGCATTCAATTCTCTCTGAATGGGAAAAGGAACATCAACCATCACATCATAACAAGCAGACCCAACCGGAGTATTCCCCGAGAGCTTGATCATATGTTCCAAAAGTATAACCTGAGGAGGAAACAAATGCTGCGATATCCTCTGTGAAACCATCGAGAACCTCACCTTATCCTCCCCGAACACCTTCTGAAGAGCCTGATCGCAGTGAAAATACGAAGGATCATTATGGTTCTGCAACTTCCTCGCTTTCACATAGTGCCATATAGCAGAAACAATCCTTGCCCGCGTATCAACCTGAATACCAAGCACTTCCCTCAAAGCCGGCGATAGCATAAACTTCTCCGGCACGTAATTCATCTCCAACCGAATCTGCGCCGGGAACTCCTTATCCCCTTTCCTCTTCACCTCAAAACCTTCATGAGTGGCAGAGGACCGCGAATTCTCCCACGTTATGATATGGTTATCAGGATAGAGCCTTTTGTCGAGGGAAATCGTCACCCTTTTGAAAAAGGCCGAGAATTTCGGGTACAAAGGGGGCATCCTGTGAGCAGCAACTCCAGGTTGTTCAGGGTCTTCACCATCTTCCAAAATCCTCCCAACTATCTTAAGGGTCCATGTGGGAGTGTTAGAATCCACACTCTGGTTCGCAAACGTGTTGAACACGAAAATTCGAAGGGTTTTCTGGATGCAGGGTGGGTTTTTCATTGCTTCTTGAATATCAACCTTCTTTCTAGCAAGTGCAGCGTCCACACGCGCCTCCACGTCGAGGAGCTGCGTGTAGAGTGCTGACTCGGGGAGAATTGCGGAGGCTTTCTCCGGAAGCTGTTTCTCGTTTGGCTTGTGCTTCTTCCTTCGAGGCCCAGGCACGGATTCCGTTTGTTTAAACGGCGTGGCGGTATGAACGGGGGGTTTTGGAGGGAAACGTTTGGCGTTGGGGTTGAAGGAAAGCCCGTGGGCTTGGAGCTGGGCCTGGAACTGAGCTTGGACGATGGCGTGAGCCTGGGACAGAGGGTACTGGCCCGGCACAATTTGGGAATGTGTGTAGGCGGAGGAAGAAGCCCCAAGGGGCTTGAAAGTGTTGTTGTTGTTCATAGACATTGGCTTCTAAAAATGGTTAACCGAAGGCATACATATGAAAATTTCTATCACTGAAACACGGAATTTGATTGTGGAGACAGGATTTACCTGAGAGAGTGTCGAAGAAAACGGTGAAGATTGAGCTTCGAGTCTTCGGGGAAGTGGTGCCTAGGGTTTGGAAAATGGGGGAAACCAACCAGATGTCAGTGTTGGTTCAGTACTTCAGTGTTTGGAAAGGCGTTGGAATTTAGACACTGCGTTCAATGTCAATCCATCACGACTTTCCAAACGCACTCCAAAAGTCGTGCCTCAACGTTCTAGTTTTGAAAATTGAAGAATGAAGATTAATATTTTAATTATTATCAAATAAAATTCTTGTTTTAATTTTAAAAAATATTTAATATTTCAATAATATTGATTAGTAGATGTTATTTTTCAGGCAAAATCTACTGTAATATTTTTTAATGGAGGGGATACATATTTCTTTTATTAACATCAATTGAATTTGTTTTTTATTGAAGCTATTCACCCAGCTAATTTTATTTCTTTGACTTGTTGGAGTTATATTATGTTTGAACCTAAATCACATTAAAGAAAAATAATCCTAATCTTAAAATAAATTTCACATAATTTTAAATAATAATCTCAATCAATTTTGGCCAAAATTTAACATTAGTATCAAAGAAAAAATAATTATTAAGATATATATATATATATCAAATTACTACATTAATTAAATTATATTAAAATATATAATTTATTATTTTTAATATTTTGATAAGAGATTTATAAATAAGATTATTCTATTTTTTTATATTGAAATATATTTTTTTAATGTTTATTTTTTTTATCCTATATATACTTAAATATATATACTTAAATATCGGAATGTTTATACTCATGAATCTTTATCTTTTTCGAATATTTAGTAGAGCTTAGTCATGTAAATTTCAAAGTCGTTATTGTCGTTTAAACTGATATATCTGAACTCATTATTTTCTTGGAAGAAAATTTGGTGTTGTATGTGGAAACCAATGAAACTAATTTCATGCTACACTTTTAATGGTTCAAATGTGCAATTATGTTAGTTCATCAATAATTGATATGGATGTCAAATGATCATCAATTGCTTGAAATCTCACATGAAAAAGATACAGTAGAAAAATAAAACAAACATTTGTGTAGACATTGTCAGACTGCAAAGTAAACACCAAAAGGAGTTAGCAGAAATTGATAAAAAAAATTAAGAAGAAATGATAGTCTTGAGAAGGCACAACTAGGGATTAAAGAAAGAACTACATACTATGAGAAAACTAAGATCTCCCCTAAGATATTAATCTCCCTCTAGATACTAGTCTCCCTTGAGGTAATAATCTCTTTCAAGGTATCAATCTCTACTTCATAAAAATGAGGCTTAGAATAACCCTTGAAACAAAATGAAGGTAAAATCTAGGGTTGGTTAAACTCATAGAAAAAACATGTCTCAAACATAAAACAGACGAGTCCTTTAATACTCAAGGGTAATCAAAGCTAAATCTTAGAAACTTGTTTACACTTGATATATTGAAGGAACCCTTACCCTCTAGATGTAAAGTTCCTAATATGGAGAAATTCGGAGGAGGTACTAACCCGAACAAGCATATTTGAGCTTTTCTGACATAAATCACTATATTTTTCGAGAAAGTGATGTTTTTGTGCAAGATTTTTCCTATGACGTTAAGAGGACCAATACTTAAATGTTTGTATGATCTACCTCACAAATTAATAAATTCATTTGAAAAATCATCTGACAAATTTTGAGTTAATTTTGTAGCCAATTGACCACACTAACCTACTTTGCTCACTCTTCGAATATTGAAACAAAAAAGAAATGAGTCTTAAAGAAAATTCTAAAAGTGATTTATCGAAGTAACCGTAACCATTTTTAATTTATCCCCTTAATGTAACAAGTCACTCTATGATCACAAGATTGAAACAATGACCATTTTAGGATAGTTTATACATAAACTACCCAAATACATTATAAGAAGTCAAAAACCAAGCTTCTAGGTTTATAAATCTATAAAAGAATATAGAATTCAAGAAAAGAAGATACTGGGAGAGGGAGAGCTCGGTCCACAAATATAGTTAAGATAAAATGGTAGACGTGAAGAAAGAATATACACTCCTTTAAACGTTAGCCTTGAGACAATCTTCCGAGAAACTTATAATCTGAAATTGGTCAAACTACCAGAATTTGTTGCTACCCTTATAGTGTTGATTGGACTAAGCGATGTGCATGACACGAAAATTATGGACACACAATTAAAAATTGTAGAAGAGCATAAGAAGTCTTAAAAGATCTTATTTAAGTTTGATTATGAAATCGCTTTATACAAGGCTTTAGATAGAAGTCGTAATATATATTATTCAAGTTAGGATGATGATGATGTATTTCACATTGATCCCACAAAAGCAACATGAATGAAATCCAACATATAATACTCGATGAATGGGATAACTTAAGTAACACATCTAAAGACATATTATACTTAAGGTAAATATTTTTAAATCAATATGTCTTATATTATTATCTTCCTAGCAATAGTTAGTGTGAAAGGACGTATTATAACTTGTTAAAAAAATGACAACATGGAAAAACACATCTTTAAGGACTACTTGGCCCATTAATGATGCACTCTCAACATCGAATTCTGATTCCACCACTAGTGCAAAAAGGGGCTTTTACGTTAGGTATTTAGGACTTTTTACGTCGTATTTAAGTCCGACGTTAAAGCGGGAGACGTAAATTTACATTGGACCCTTTTGCCCGACGTAGATTTACGTCAGTTATCAAGATCTGACGTAATTTTGCGTGGCATATACACTAAACAGACGTAAAAACCTTTTCAATTTAAAAAAAAAAAAACAGAAAATTTACGTCGCATATGGTATACGCGACGTAAATTTACGTCGCATATACCAATACGCGACGTAAATTTACGTCGCATATACCATATGCGACGTAAATTTACGTCGCATATACCAATATGCGACGTAAATTTACTATTTTTTTTTTAAATTGGGTTTATTTATTCTGTTTTACAACTAAAACCTGTAAATATTACAACCAGACAGTCCAAAGGTTCAGTTTTCTTTAGCTAGTAAATTAAAAATATAATATTATATAATTCAAACTACATAATAAAATAATATAATACAAACATTCAAACTATAACATCTATTACAAACTAAGTTACCTATACAAACTAAGCTACCTATACAAACTAAACTAAACTACATAATACACACAATATAATATGAACAAGAACTTAAAAAATAATGTACTAGAATTGTTGAACAAAAAATTTTGCCCATTGTTCTCTAATTTCCGTAATCTCGGATTCCGGTAATGGAGATGGATCTTGAAATACCCGAAACATGAATTTGACTTTTGTAAGCATGCAACATGAATAAAGTTAAATAAACTTAACTAATGTTAAAAGTAATTACCTCCAGTCCAAGAATCAATTAAACCCGCACAAACTATGGCTCTCATCCAATACATTACATAGTAACCACATTCAAACGAGTCAGTTTGCTTATTACACTCGAAATGATGAAAAAAACATAATATTATTTTCAAAATTGAAATACAAACAATAATTATGGTATTCACTTATATAAATAAGTTTATAACCTTAGGATAAATGAACTGCAAAGTCTTTGTTCTAGGTTTTCCACTTAGAACATTAGTTAAAGACACGATTCTAAGTTAAAAAAAGTCATATATTATTCAATATGTATTCACAATTTAAAAACATAATTAATGAATAAAAGATAAAGTTACCCTTGTAATAAGCTTTTCATTTCTTGACTCGGTTTCCGATGTAATGAACAAAACCACACCACAGTGTAATCCCGGGGCATGATTACAATTAACTGTCAATGGGACCTACATTGTATGACATAAAAATTAGTTACAAAAATATAAATTAAAATACAAAATAACATTGCACGCAACCTGAAATTCACTTCGTGATATGAATCAAATACATCCACTTCTGTTTCCCACAACATTTTCAAATCATCAATTAAAGGACTAAGATATACATCTATGTCATTTCCTGGTTGTCGAGGTCCTGAAATCATCATAGATAACATCATATATTTTCTCTTCATGCATAACCAAGGAGGCAAATTGTAAATGATCAACATAACTGGCCATGAACTATGTTTACTACTTAAATTTCCATAAGGATTCATCCCATCTGTAGCTAATCCAATTCTCAAGTTTCTTGGCTCTGCACCAAATTCTGGAAAGGTTTCATCAATCATTTTCCATTGTGGAGAATCAGCTGGATGTCGAAGAAGATCATCACATTTTCTACCATTTGTATGTCATGTCAAGTTTCTTGCATCTTCTTTTATGGCAAATAATCTTTTAAACCTAGGTATAATTGGCAAATACCATAACACCTTAGCAGGGGGACCATCTAGTTCTTCCTCACCACTACTTTCCTCAACTTTGTTTTTGAACCTCGACAAACCACATGTCGGACACATCTTTAATTTAGCAAAATCATTTCTGTACAATATACAATCATTAGGACATGCATATATTTTCTTGTACTCTAAACCCATTGGACATAATATCTTCTTTGCCTCATAGTTACGAATAGGTAATGTATTATCTTCAAGAAGCATCTCCTTCAACAACTCCAATAATTCGGTGAAACTTTTATCAATCCATCCATTTCTTGCTTTTAAAGTAAACAATTTTAAAGTTGCTGATAATCTTGTAAAACTACATCCTATGTACAATTGTTGCGCAAAATCAGATTTCAAAGAATCATATAGATGTGCTTTCATAAAATTTTCTTCACCAATATCACGTATCATATCCTCTAGATTATCATCCATCCCTTCATCAAAATTGTCTGTAGTTGACACAGTTGGGATGTCTAATATTTCTCCATGCCATGTCCATATTGTATAACTCTTAATAATACCATAAACAAACAAGTGATCACGTATATCCTCAAGTTTATGACGAATTTGATTCAAACAACGAACACATGGACAATAATATGTCCCTTTCATAGTTTTTCCATTTTCACTAGCAAATTTCAAAAATTCCTCAACTCCCTTTTCGTACTCTTCACTAATACGACGTGCATTCATCCAACTTCGATTCATATTATGTTATAAAGTTTCGTCACTCCTAGAGATTTAAAAATTATATGTAAAAAAAATTAATATACAAACAACAAAGCACGTTCCAACAACAATGGAGTGTGTAAACCGAATGCACTCAAACAAATAAACAAATAATTACATTCCAATAACAATTCAGTGGAGACATTCATACTATAACGTGAATGAGATCCCCAAAAACAATCACGGATTCAATGTAAACATATAGCAATGACATAGAACACTAACCTCGAGTGTAGACGAAAACTGATTTCAAACTCGAATCCAATCGGGGAGAAAGATCAAGTTCGTCAAATGACACGATAATGTAGATGCTTTTCACTGTAAAACTGCTCGAAAATGGTGTGCAGAGGTAGTTGTTGTTGTCGTTCTCGTCGTCGTTCTCAAAAACCCTGGTTGCGCGAGACGAGGAAGTGGGTCTGGAGGGAAATAAAATAGACTTTTTACGTCGCGCATCCCAGCACGCGACGTAAAAAGCCATCTTTTACGTCGCACCTGGAGTGCGCAATGTAAAAGATGGACTTTTACGTCACGCCTCCCAGGTGCGACGTAAAAGAGGCTTTTTACGTCGCATACTGGGATGTGCGACATAAAATTTTTGTCCCATATTTACAAAATTGTCACCGCGTTTTATTTACGTCGAATATACATGCATGCGACGACAATTGGGTGACGTAAAAGCCCTATTCTGCACTAGTGCATTGTGACATCTTTGCTCCTCATATTATCCATTTCACAATTGGATTGTTTTGGCTGATCTCAAGTCCTCTTTGCACCAGGACCTAGAGTTTATAGCTTTCAGGGACAAAATTGTGGATGCTCCAATCGACTTTCCTCAATTCTCTATAAAGGATGACCTTCTCCTCTATAAAGATAAGTTTTGGCTACCCTCCACTTGCTCTTTCATTCCACTCCTACTTCATGAATTCCACAACACCCTTATAGCAGGTCACACGGGCACATCCTGTACATTGAGCAAAATCAAGGCTATTTTTTACTAGAGCACCATCCGCAAGGATGTCAAACAATTTGTCGAACACAAACCAAGCTTCCAACTGAACGTTCCCAAGGTATGTTACAACCAATAGCCCCTCCATCACATTGTTGGGAGGATTTGTCCTTTGACTTTATCACTGAATTACCTCCTTACAAAGGTTTCATTACAATTTTTGTGGTCGTCGATAAATTCTCAAAGGGTGCTCATTTTGGGATGCTTCCCAAATTCTTCACTGCCACCAACGTAGCTCAATTATTCGTTGACATAGTCTGCAAACATCATGGGTTACCTCACAGTCTTATATCTGAACTGACTTGCAGTAATCATAAGCAAATAATAGAAAGAAATACATGAACTATTTCCAATCATTCCTTCCTAACAAATTTCTCCTTTTAACGGGTAATGGGACCAGTGACCAAATCATTTCCCCTATTTTTAATCTTTTATATTATTTGCTTATGATTACTGCAAGGCAGTTGCCAAAGTGCATATATAGTACAAAGATGTAATAGAAAGGGGAAAATTAGTAAAGTATTTCTTCCTTTCTAAAAATTCTTTTCTCTCTATGTTATTCCACTTGATTCCACTTGTGTCTGGTGGAGCACCCTTCCAACATCTCCTAGTAAAGAGCTAATGTTAAAGGACAAAGTTAGTAGAGTTCATCATCAAAAAAAATATTCATCTAGTAAGAGCTAGCATGAGAGGACAAGACCAACAAATTGACAAAAAAATTATTGCATATTAAGAAATAATGTAAAAGAGTGAAACCTGACAGTCCGTTATAAATATGGCGGGATACATCTATGTTTTTAACTCACCAATTCATTTTAATCTGTCCTATTTTTTAGAGACAAAAAAAAAGAACGAATTAACCGTTTTTTCATCTTATTTAAAATAAGATATAAATAATATATCTCATAAAAATAATATAATCTAAATTAACGGTTACATTCCTTATAAATAAATTCAAAATACAACATTCAATGAATTCAATCATAATATCGTAGTAAAAATATATATTGATAACAAATATATTCAAAACACCTAGATTGTGTGAGGAAGATGACTGCATCGCTTATCTTGCATAAAACCAAACTACAACAAAAAAATTTAGAAGAAAAACTTATCCCACTTTGATTATTATTATTTTGTCTCATCGGTACAGAGGAAAAAAAATGTCACATGACATCATACTTCATCTACCCCGTCATAAAATTTGTCAACCACACAGTAGAAATTAGTAAGGAGAGTTAAAAATTTTGAACTTAAAAAAAAAATTTCTACAGGAACTAATTGATATGAAATATTTTTCAAAAACTAATATAATATATGTTGTACTTTTAAAAATGAAAATAATATATGATCGAAATTTTATTTAGATATACTTTTAATTAATATTACTTAATGTAAGTTAAAGAAAGTAAGATTTTTAGCAATTTTTTTTCTATTTGACGAAAGATTATTTTTTAAAATATAAATAAATGGACATATCATACAACATATATAATTTTTTAAATTTATAAAAATAAGTAAAACCTCACGTATGATTTAATTAAACATTTTGTTTATTTGAGTTTGGTTAGATCATAACTCTGTAATTCAATTTAGGTAAGATAATTTCAAAAATATGAATTAAATATTTAAAATTATAACCTCACGTACGATTCAATTAACTATTTTGTTTATTTGAGTTTGATTATAGCATACTCAGTAATTAAATTTAGGTAAGATAATTTAAAATTTGTTCAGACATTAATTACTCAAAGTCCATTTTTCTTCCTCAAGGCAAATTTATTCGAGCATTAATGACGCATGGTTAATTTTTCTTCTTCAAGGTATAATTTATTCAAGCATTAATTACTCATTGTTATTTTTTCTTGGATGCATAATTTATTCAACCAAGAATTTAATCTTAGCATTAATTATCCCTTCTCATTTACTTGTGTGTAATTTGCTTTCGATTTTGTATTCTAAATTTATTTATGAATAAAATATGTTTTTATACAAAGATTGTTTTTTATATATTATGATTTAATTAGTTAACTTTTTGTCATCGCCATAAAAAGAATTAAGATGTACAATTTTAAATTTCAAGTAAAAAATAGCAATATTTTATTTTTTTAAGTTTTAAAGGTCACATGGATAATGAAAAAATGTTTTGTAATATGTTGTTTTGGTTTTATTAAGAAACGAAGGATTACAAACCCTAGAAGCACAATCATTGATGTAGCTTTCAAAAAGATTCTCAACTGTGAGTCGAGAAACGTGATATCATGGGAACATGTAGCCTGCATCTCCCTTACTTCTCATTGCTTGACAGTTTACAGTGGATGAATGTGAGAGAATGATGTAATTGATAAAATGATTGAAAAGCATAGGAAGAAGATAGAAAAATTATCCACACTGGCATTTAAAAGTTAAAAAATATAATTGAAAAATATTATTATATTTTACGAGCCACTTAAACTTGTACACTTCACTATTTATTATGTCATCAAATTATATATATATATATATATATATATATATATATATATATATATATATATATATATATATATATATATATATATATATAAAAGTATTTCCTCTCCGTTTTCTCCAACCCCGGCTCTGTTCAGATATCCTTTCCTGCTGCAATCTCAATTCAGTATTGTTATCATATCTGTTATATCTTAAATTCAGTTATGATTCATTCAGGTAGTGATTTTAGGTTTTTTTATTGGTAACATGAAACACAAAATCAACCAGAGAGAAGCAAAGTAGTATCCATTTAGAGAGAAGCAAACAGACAGAAAGGGTAGTCTCAGATCCTCAGGGAAGAAGGAATTATAACAGGTGCACGCTAAACGCTAAACAAACAATTCGTCAAATTTTCTAAAACTTATTTATTGCTTCTTTTATCCTTACAAAGGTTCTATTAAAATACAAAGTGATATTTTCAAATAACTAAAAAGAATTGATGTAAATGAATAGGAAGTGTTAACATAATATTTTTTTAAAACAATAAAAAGTAATTATAGGGATAAAATAAACAGGATATTTGTGTAGCTTCATAAAATTTCAGTGACTAATGCAACTTTGTATTTTTGTTTTTGTTGAATTAAGTTCCGAAGGTTCAAATTTTAATCTATGCTCATATCGTACAGGTTCCTTCAGGTTGAGAATACCAAAGATGAAGTAATTTTACTTTAAAAATATTTAGTGACCGCCCATACATGCTATATAAATTTGAAATTTATTTACCAGTATGTCTGAATTCAATAAACATCTTGAAAGACAGCAAACAGTTCAACAGAGCCACAGAAACAATAAACTAAACTTCTAACTGTCATGACTTGTTTGTTTATTGCTGAAAACATTTAATTCTCTCCACACATGTCTACCTATCTACAACTAAGGTAATTAGAGGGGCATAAAGTACATGTAATCCATAGAACGTTAACAACTCTACACTGAAATCATCTGCAAATATTTTGGCTTGTGTGGGAGGTTGGGAATCATCTGACGAATAAATCAATAACGTCTACCTCCAGCTGTTGACAGAAGAACTCGATTTGGCTTCTTTCCTTTCTTCCCCAACTCATTAGTCTTCGGTGCACTCGAGCTTATATTTGATTCTGCTCTTGATATAACGTTGGAGTATGACTGTGTCTCCCCGCTTCTCGAACCTACAGAATCACAACGGTTAAGAACAACATTTTTGGTCACCTGAAGCACTTTATTCTTGCGTTATATAGCATAGCAATATTTTCCATGCAGAACATATAAAATTGCATAAACATATAATACCTGTTGTAGCAGAAGAATCAATGGTCGTATTGTTATAATGTAGACCATTAGTTTCTTGAATTTGCAAGGATGGAGAATCATGGGCAGCAGCAAACCCAAGCCTTGTGACATTTGAGAACGATTTTCTCTCCCCAGCTATGGGAGCACTTGAGGATATAGTTGAATTTCCTAGAGCTGAACAAAAAATATACAAAAATTACATATACCATGGCACAACATTGTCCATGGACGATACAGCATAGCACAGAACCCTAAATTACATATACCATGTCACAACATTAACTGCATTAAGACACGTATCATTCAAATAATTACATAAGTACAGCATACTAATTCATTTTTTTTCTCAGGCACTATTTCTGCATAGTGAGATTTCCAGTAATGCGACCACAAATTGTCATAGAGGTTCAACATTAGGTCCAAAGAAAGCTGAATGCTTGGTATATACTAAATGAGAGGACAGGATAAATTGGGCAAAGGACAAGGAGAAACAATTATGCGGAGTGGAGAAATTAAAGGAAAATGTTGAGAAGAGTCATGAGGATGTCATATCAGTCAGTACAGATAGTTCTGGTGCAAACATCTGCAGTATGATGGAGGGATAAGGAGTATACACTAGAGACAAAACATAGATGCAATTTCTAGGGTGTTTTTGGTGTTGTTCCAATTAAAGTAGGGGTTTCACTACAATGTTCTACATAATAGAGGTTTACGTTAAAGGTCAGCACAGAACACCAAGGTAAAATCTAAGTTTGATAGGAGTACCTAAATCTAAGTATTATCTACCCGAATGTGATTATGCTTTTTGGTACTGTGCCTGCAGCAGGTCTGACTCATAGGAGTATCTCTTTCTATTTATGCGTTCAAGTTCTGTTATTATTGCTATTGTGGAATTACCTTTATGAAAACTACTGTCTTGAGGGATTGTTAATAAAATAACAACAGAACTTTTATTCTAACAACCAAATTCCATATTCCAGCATCCAACAAACAGATTACCTTCAAAGTCATCCATGGAGAATGTTGGAGGATCATCACGAGATGTAAGCCGACTACTCAATGATATGGGAAAGGAGTAGGTATCAGTAGCATCAGCCCTTATCTTTTCCTTCCGTTCCTAAAAGCAAAAATATAACATGGGAAAGGACATTCCAACATTTGGAGAACAAAACAAAATATATGAAATTTAAATAAAAGGCATATATGATGATAGCAATAAAAAATCAAAATACCAACAGAAGCAAAAACAGCCAGCATTGACTCGCAATTAGAAGGCTTTGTGGATTCTTTCAGTGCCATAAAAGACGTTACAGTACAACTTTGGAAAACAAAACAAAATATATGAAATTTGAATAAAAGGCATATGATGATAGCAATAAAAAATCAAAATACCAAACAGCAGCAAAAACAGCCAGCATTGACTTGCAATTAGAAGGCTTTGTGGCATTCTTTTAGTGACATAAAAGACGTTACAGTACCCACATTAAACTGTAATCTAACAAGAATTGGGCTCTAGATTCAAAACCTAGAAGATAAGTTTGCACAACCTAAAGCTTGGTCTGGCCCAACCCTGAGAAGATTACCTTAACAAACAATTTCCACTACTTTCACACCAGACAAAAAGATTTACAAAGAAAATAAATAATGAATGGAAAAGGTTGATAAAAACATTTTCTTTCTGAGAGAAATTCCATTCCATAACTATCATATCGTTTTGCACATGTTAAGGGAAGATGATGTGAGTCAGGGATACTCAAAATCTTATACAACTTAATGAAATCTACATAAATAAAATATGATGGGCTACATTGATACCTTTTTTGCAAGTTGCTTCCTCTGATTTGCACGTTTCTTTATTTCATCCATAAATGGAGCCAGTGCTTCAGGAGGTAACAACTCACTCAAATCAACTTCACAGAGCTGAAAAATTAGTAAACATCACTTATAAATCATCAAAAAGTATCTTGGAACTATAAAACCCTTTGAAAGGTACCTGAAATATTGTGGTTAACGGAAAATGACTTAGGAATCGATACCGCCTCCTCATGGCCTCAGACTGAGTAACTGTCTCCAATTGTAGAATCCTTCCATTTATTCTGCAATCAGCAGACATGGGTCAAAAAGTAATGCTCAGTTGCTCACTAATGCTCCTCCAAATAGAAAGATGTTCATTCAATATCAAGGCATCAACCATACACACACAAATATCCTAAGCATCAACTAATATCCTCAAACCCATACTTTTGAAAAGACAACTTCAACCACTACTATTATTACTATTGACATTTCTAATGAAATGGATAAAGATCAAAGCAACATCTACTGAAAATTTGGTCTTTGATCCATTATGGCTGCCCTCATTGTTGGTGTAACTTCTCATGAAGGTGTTTCCCAATGATCTTACATCTGAATGTGTTTCCGGTGAGCAGAAATTACTAGCCAAACTTCATTATAATTGAATGCTATCTTTTTAGTCTATTTTGAAAACCATACATGTTATAAGAATTAGCATGATAGCAAAATGGAGAAATTTTGTACTTTTTGGGTGGCATTCATTTTCTTTTTGAACAGTAGACCTAATATTCTGTGTAACAAGATTAGAATTCCTTTATGTATGGTATAGATATTTTTATAAACCAAAATTGAGACTTCAAAATTCAATCTATTGCTGTTATAAATGATAAAAGATCCACATTATGCCAAGACTTGAGAGTGAAAAATGAGAAAAGAGCTTTAAGAGATACATCAATCTCTTAGTTGCTCCATATTGTTTATCAATGTTATCGAAAAACAGCCATGGCGGAGTCATGGCAAAAATTGAAGGTGGAATTTTTGCTGGCCACCATGACAAGGTGGCGATGAAATGGGTTTTGCATGGCAGCCACTTCGGCTGTAAGAGAATGGTGACACAAAGCGGCCATGGCAAAAATCTTGCTCCTGCAGCCGTGCAACTTGCATCTAAACGTAGATAATGTGTTGGGTCTGTGGAACCCAACCCATGACTAACTAGGGTTTTTACTTTGAATAATATTATGTTTTGTTGTCTGTGTGGGTTTATAAGAGACTCAGCCCAATAGCAGCCAGAAAAAACCTAAAAAAAAGGTTGGTTAGTTTACACTGCCCAACCTAAACTTGACCACTAATTAAAAAAAATTAGTGTTAAGGTTCCAACATAAAACCAATTGGCAATATGTGGAGTAGCATGATAGGTATTTAAACCATACCACGAGGCAGACAATATGAGACTTCCAACACCCCCCCCTCCAATGAAGTCTATCGAACTAGGCAAAAGGTATCTTAAGGGCAACTCTCGGCCCAAGACAATAACCGGAAATAAATTAGGTTTTGGCTTTGATACCATGTTAAGGTTCTAACATAAAACCAATTGTCAATTGATTTTATGTTGGAACCTTAACATGATATCAAAGCTAAAGTCTAACTTCTTTCTAGTTGTTAAATTGGGCCAAGAGTTACTCTTTCGATGTGGGACTTCAACTCACTTAAATTAGGTTATGGGTTTCCCATATAAGAGAATAAGACATTGCCTTCAACCAAAAACTTAAAGGCATTAGCTCTAATACCATGTTAAGGTTCCAACCTAAAATCAATTAGCAATATGTAGAGTAGCCTAACAAATATTTAAACCATATGAGGCAGACGATGTGGGACTTCCAACACGCCTTCTCCAATGAAGCCTGTTAGACCAAACAAATGGTATTTTAAGAGTAACTTTTGACTCAAGACAATAACCGAAAATAAGTTAAGCTTTGACTCTAATACCATGTTAAGGTTCCAACATAAAACCAATTGTCAATTGGTTTTATGTTAGAACCTTAATAGTTAGGTTATTTTATACTAGACCCAACCCATCTTGCCCTTCTTCCTCATTACAGACCTCCAATTACACTGCCACCATCGCCGCCACTGCAATCACCACCACACTGAATTTGTGGCTTCCTTCATTCAACTCAGTTCAACCCCACATTTTTTTTTCATTCTTCCTTCATTCATCAGCAACAAGATGAATCAACCATTTTTTCTTTTCATTCTTAGTTCATTCGGCCCCATATTTTTAAAAGTTTAATTTGATGATATTTTGCTTTAATTTAATTGTTATAGACTCATATGGTTAATTATATGATTACTCTTTATTATTTTTTTACATTTTAATTATATTCATATATTTTATTTATTTATTCATATTTATATATTATATTTTTTTCCACAATACTTTCGCCACAAGCTAATATGAAATCCGATATATTTTCATAAAGAAATTTTGGGTTACCATTATTTTCAGTTCTCCGTTATTTATAACATTGTTATTTATAGAAGAGAAATTCATCATAACTACAAAGTGTGCAAGGAAAAGGCTATACCTAAGTACGCAAGCAAAAACAGCCTTTTAGGGAAACAAGTAAACCTACCTAAACAAGTTAAGCTATCATGATAAACTAATTTAACACCAATATCATATTATCTTAAGCTCACAAACCATCCATACATTATTCCACTTACTTTCTAAGTACAAAGGAGGATTATAATTTGATTTTGTCCATACCTGTGTGGAAGCATATCATAGCTCCCATATTGGTGGAGCAAACACTTCATGTTCAGAGGATGAAGAATTAAATGCTGACCATCAGCAGCCTGAAATAATAGACAAGAGCATGTAACATCCATGAATTGCTCAAGCTGGTTTCAGGCTAAAGCATTCAGGAATTGCTCAATGAAACTAAAAGTAGCACATAACAATTGAGAAAGCACAAGAAATAAAGGGGTTTAGGATGGATTGGTAGAAATATTTGACATTAATGGATAATTGATGTTCAAGGTCAACATGTTGCCATCAGTGGCGGATCTTGACCATTGATTTTAGGGGGGTCAAATAATATATTATTAATAAATAATAAATAAATATAAAAGGAAGAAAGAATATGAAAGGATGAAAAGATAAAATTGTAGATATATACTTAAATATATTAAATAATCATTAAGTTTGAAGGAAACAAAATCATAAATTATACAAGAGTTACAAAACTGAGGAGGGGTTGAGAGGATAAAATTGTAAATATACAAGTAAATATATTAAATGTTCATTATGTTTGGGAGGACTAAAATCATAAATTACATGGGAGTTACAAAACTTTGAGGGGGCCACGGCCCCCCTCAGCTCCCAAGAAGATCCGCCACTAGTTGTCATTAAAGCAACCAAGTTGCTTTTCTTTAAGAGATACTCATTTTGATTTTTGAGAGCTTTGTAGTAGAAAGAATAATGGTGAAAACTCTCACTGTGTTCCCCACCAACTTGATGGATAACAAAACATGGGGTTCATTTTAATCTCAACAATAAATTGAGCTAATTGAAAAGCACTCATGGCCATATGGATATTTAACATATAACCCTTACTGCACAACTTCTCTCCAATCCATCCTTTTCTCCTTTCCATTTTACCCCACACCTTCCCATTTCAACCCATTCCCTCTAAGAAAGAGCTTATTTATAGAGACTATCCTATGGCATAAACACCTGTGTAAGTGTTTGGCAAAGCTTATGAAAATAGCTTATCATATGTCAATAAGTTGCTTACAGCTTATTTCAATAAGCTCTCCAAAGATTACTTGTACACGAGATTAGAACTTAAAAAAAAAAAAGCTTATTTCCTGGTTAATTATTGAAACAACTAATGCATAAATACTTACATGAAAAGCATTTATTTAATAAGTACTTAAGTTGTTTCCTCAAACACACCCTAAATCTCAAGTTTAATTGAAAGATGTATGCTGAAGTGGGCGGAATTGATTCAGGCATTCAACTAAACAGGCATCAGAACTTCCAAATAGCCTCATTATAAAACGGTAATATAGCTAATGTCTTCATCCCTCTTTCAAATCATTACAATCCTAATCTATCTTCAGTCAAGCCTACCACTTTCAAAGCAACACAATGGTGAAAATCTCTTACAACCCTCTATTTATCTCTTCCTTATTTCTCTTAATCTAATCACCTGTATTTCCACTTTATTCCTCACCCACTTCCATTCACCTTCCTTCCCTATTTCCATCCACACTATTTCTCACCTATTTCTTTCCTTCCAACAAAATGAACCCAACATAATGTCAAATTGTTCCACAAGATTCAAACATGAATAAATCAGTTCATAATTCATAGACACATGTTTTGTATCCAAACACAATATTGTGAAGCAAGCAACATCGGATACAGAACACAATTAAAACCAACTGTCAGCGGTTACCTGGTAGAAACTGTATGAATCATTTCCCTTCCCTTCTCCAGCAACACCATCATCTGAAGGCCTTTGGATACCATTTTTCTCCTCATATGAAGAAGAAAAATTCATTTCCGGCTCTATTAATTCTTTCTCCACATTCAAAGTTTCATCTGAACAGGTTCCAGCAGATGACTTATCCAGCATGGTAACCTTAATTTGGTTATGGTAATCAGTAGAGGAAGTTCTCGATCCATAGTTTTCATCATCAGTATCCAGAGAACATGTAACCGTTGATGGTATCTGATGTCCATGATCAATAAACTTAGAATTTTCACTGTCATGAGACTTTTGCTCATTCCAATACCTCTTCCTCTGTTCCAGTTGTTGCATTGCAGCACAAACATAAGGAAGCTTCTCCAGGTCATCAACGAGACCAGAATCAGCTCTGGCCAGCCAACCATCTAGATCTGATATTGAATGTCTTACTGAGAGATCTACATCTGATGTAAGAGTAAACTTAGAAAAGGGATCGCAGAAATATCCATTACCACATGCTGCTACATTGGTCTCTTTTTTATTTTTATGTGAAAGAGTAAACGAATCTTTTTTTCGAGTCAAAAAGGTGAACTCAACATTTTCTCCTACTTGATACTGTTTAACATTGGTGATGTGGACTGTATATAAATCCTTGGCAGATATCATCACAAAGCACAAAGGGCACCTTTTCCAGATATCACCTTTGTGATCCTCTTCACCCATCATTAAGTACTGTAGAATACATGGGAAACAGAAAATATGTCCACATGAGGTTATCTGTGGACACAGTGGATACTCCAAACAAATTGGACACTGAATTGAAAAGGGAGTCAAATATGTCACACATATAATATCTTCCCACTGCAACATTTTATCTGGATCCATTGACTCAGGAGAATAATTTCCCGAATCTAGAACCATGAACTTGTAATTTGCCTGCAAAAACAAATCTTTATTATATGGCTTCCTCTTCCAATTCCTTCTTGTTGCAGGGTGGGGAGGGGGACCACGTGGTTGAGAACGGGATATAGGGTCATATTGAAAATTCAGCAAGTAATTTCCGTTCACAGTCTGAGCTTTTCTCCCTGCCAAAGGGGTACTTCCATGAGAACTCATGGACCCATGAGCTTGTTGGTTTCTGTGAGAAGAAACCATTCCCGCCCGTCTTCCCCCGTGACTCCTAGAACGTGTTCTAGAGTTTTGTTGAGGTGAAATCATCGCTCCACTTGGAGACCCTAATTCTGTCACCTAAATGCACACAAGAGAACAAAAAGTAACCAACAGATACCCAAAAACAAAGACAAAACACATAATTCTACACTTCTATCAAGCCCAAAGCTTCAATAAACCAGGAAACATAATGAAACAAATAACAAGCCCAGATAATGAGAACCAAGATACCTTTCCGGAAGGTCCACCAGATTCTTCAGCAGCTTGAGTAGATGAACCTAACAACAAAGTTGAATCACTTAATCAGTTAAACAAGAAGCACCAATTTTTGTTTTTTAAAAAAGTATTACCATCCAAAACCACACTCTCCAACTATACAACTCTCAATAACCAATCAGCACACAAAATTCAATACCCAAAAATTAACCCCCTCCGTCCCTTGACCGTTAAATTCCCAAAACCGTAATAAAACAAAACAAAAGCACCACAATTTTTCACAAGCAGTGACCCATCATGATTATTTCCTCGAGTCAACCAAACTACGTAGAATTTAAGGGGAAAGGGATAGATCGAAGAAGGAACCTGGGTTATCGGAGATCTGTAGAGATCCGAGAGCGTGGTGAAGTGGGGGGGAGAGAGAAGGGAAGGATTGTTGAGGAATAGGGATTCCGATGCCATGTTGGGGATTAGGGCTGGAAGATGGCGCAGAGGAAGAGGACGAAGATGGTGCTTGGGTTTGTGAGGGCAAGATGGACATGAAAGTTCTGGAAGGAGGGTTTGGGGTGGGTTCGTTTGTGGTTCAGCTTCTATTCTACTTTACCAAACTTTAAAGGATGAAAACACACCCTTTTATTTCTCTTCTCTTCTCTTCTCTTTTCGTTCCCTGGTATCTCTGCCGCATCTTTGCCGAAGATCGGGGTTACGGCCACCACCACGTTGCAAATGTAAATATTCTTTATTATTATTATTATTAATTAATATTTATTAATATATAAAAACTAAAATATTTGAAAAGTTTGTGCTCGATAAAAATTGTCATCAACGTTCTATATTTAATTTAATATTTTATATGTACTATTTACACAATTGAAGTAAAGAAGTGTAAAAAAAATTATACAATGTTATACAAAAAAATTTACACAATTGAGCGTACTTTTTTTTTACATTAAATTTCTTATATTGAATTTACTTCTTGTATTTCCATTTAAAATAAAGATAATTTAGTGATTAAATTATTTTAGAAATTTTGGGCATTTATATGACAACTTTATAATTGTACCATATTTCGAGTAAATAGTCAATTTATTTTCTATTTTGTATAATTGAAGGTTGAGATGTTGTGTCATCTATCATACATTACGTTATATTTGTTCATGTACTATTTTTATTTATTACTTATTTGAATTTTAATATTTATTATAATCTTTAGCTCATAATATGTTATAATTTTGTTTACTATTTATATTATTTGTTTAAATTTATTTTTAATATTTATTTTGACATAATATTGTTCGTGTTCAAATTATTTATTCGTTATTTTACTAATATTCTCATATTCGTAAAAATCTGTCAAATATTTTCTATTTATTATATATTTTAATTTTAATTTTTAGCATTCGTTTTCAGATATTATTTTTTTACTATTATTTTTGCTAAAATTTTATATTATTTATTATGATTTAATTTATTCTATTAATTCGTTTTATATTAATTATCGATTATATTATATCAATTGTAAGATAAGGTTTTTCGACTTAGGTATTACGTGGCGACATTATTTTAATTTTTTATATCTCAAAGTTTTTTTTAATTAATGAATTACTTTGTTATAGTAATTAATGCGATTACAATAAATATATTTTGATTAAATTAAATAATTAAAATTATATATGTTATGAATTATAGTTACAGAATTTATAATTATATCACTGGTACAAAATGATATTACTTTTATATTTGTTATTTTAGTTATTTTAAATTAGAAATAAGGATAACGGTAAAATGAGAGATGTAAATTTAGGTCATATGTAATTATTGACGTAAATTTATATTGGAATAAGGACATATTCAACGTAAAATTTATGTCGGTACCTAGATCTTACGTAAATTTATGTTGGCTCAAGGACATACTTGATGTAAATTTATGTTGGATATGTGGCATAGATGTAAATTTATGTTGAATCTAAGATATAATGAACGTAAATTTATGTCGGATATGTCCTTGGTCCAACGTAAATTTCGTCTTTTTTTTAATATTCAATTTTATTTTTTTTATATTCAATTTATTTTGTCTTACAACCAGATCCAGATTTTAATAATAATAATTTAAAAATACAATAATATCATATAATACAAAGTTAAACTACATAATACAAGACAAACAATAACATACAAACTAAGTACTAGAAATGTTGAACGAAAAATTTTGTACCATTATTTTCTAATTTGTGTAATATAATGTTCGATAATGAAGTTGAATAAATCTTAAAATACCTAAAATATTAATTTAACTCTTGTTAACATGCAATACACATAAAGGTAAATTAATTTAACAAATATTGAAACCAATTACCTTCGTTCAAGAATTAGTTATATTCATAAACTATGACTATCATCCAATACTATCATGCTTATTACAATTAATTGAGAAACAAAACATAATGTTATTAATATAATATATCATACTTTTGTATGTTACATGTGCTTAGGAGCATATTTTGGAAAATTTGTTAAGACAAATTCCTTTTAGGATTTGCCCGCTCTTCTTTGATTTTTTTCCCCTTCATTTTCATATATTGTGCGTTCAAATTTGACATCAAAGTCAAAACTTATCCTTATTCGAACATTTTCTGTTTTCTTCTTATCATCATAAAATCCTAAACCCTATATACTGTAATATCTTCTCTTCACGTCAACTTAATATACAAGTTACAAAAAACGTAAAATTCAGACAGCTAAACCATGAAAACATAAAAATACAGTGTATAAACTATAAATCCACTCAAACACATAAATAGATAATTACAAACTATAATAGTTCAATTTTAATAACAATATAGTGGAGACATTCATGCAATAACAATCCTTAAAAATAATCACAGATTCAATTTCAACATAAAAAAGGAGACACATACATAGAACACTAACATCAAATATACAAAAAATGTTGTAAAACTCGAATTTAATCGGAGAGAAACATCAACTACCACAAATGGGACACAATGTAGGAGTTTTTGTTATTCACTATGGTCGAAATATACTTTGAAAGGAGCTGATTTGGTTGTTATCACCATCATTACTCAAAAAGCCTTGCGCATGGGAGGAAAAAAAAAAGAATCCCTGGAGCGATTAAAACACAACTTTTACGTTGGATCTTATAGAGACCAACATAAAAGTCACTTTTTACTTCGATTAGGAAGTCACCTGATGTCAAAAGTAACTTTTACGTCGACTTCTACGAGGTCTGACGTAAAAGTAATGTCCCTTATTTATAAAATGGTCACCAATTTTTTTTAATTTAGTTATTTTTTTGTCCAACGAGATTTGAGTGACATAAAAAACCAATTTTACGCTAGTGTATATTGGGTTTTCATGGATTAGTCTAGATCGAATTTGAGAAAAAAAATAATTTATTGGCTTTTCGTGTATCAGTCTAAATCGAATGTGAGAAAAAAAATTAAAATCAATAAATTATTATTGATGTATATTAGTACAAATTTAAAAGAAAAAAATAATCAAAATGTTTACAAAACTAACCTAAAAAAAACAACTGGATTCTATTAGGTTCAATTGAATCAAATTTTATACCAATATAAATAAAAAATATATAAATTTATATAAAAAATTGCATTATAATTTATTGTAAAGAAGTAAAAATATTAAAAATAAACTGAATAATAACAAATATTATAAAATATATAATTATACCATAAAATTTCATATATAATAATTAAAATATAAAAAATACATTGTTTGTTTGGTTGAAGTTTACTCAAAATAAATAAGGATGACAAAACGGATCAACCCGTCCCATTTTGACCTGTTCCATTTTGACTTACCCTGCCAAAAGGTAGGTGGACTGAACCATAATATTTTAAAAAAATATATCTTTAATTTTTAAATTTTTTATTATTAATTAATATTTTTATTAGATAAATTGAAAAAAAAAATTATATTTATATATTAAAATAAATAATTATAATCAATAATTTAAATCTAATTAATTAATTTTTATAATTTAAATTATAATATATTTATATATCTAATAACATAATATATAAAATATAATATTTTTAATTATAATTTTTTTTATTTTAATTTTAACATAAAAAATTTTTTTATAGCCGACCAATCGATATGATATTTAATCCATCAAATTGAGAACTAAACGAGACAATGCCAAATTAAAACTACCAATCCATTCCATGAATTTCTAGGTAGACTGACTGATCAACCCATCGGATCTAACTCCTTTGTCATCTCTAAATATAATAAATCATATACAAACTATTTACTACAAATTTCAATAAAAATGGCAAAGATAATCTTATAATTAAATTTATTAAATACAATTGAAAAAAATAAAAAATTAATTATTAAAAAAAATATTTATGACCAATCCGTACACGCACTCTTTAAAATGTCAACTTACAGTCTGCATCCTTTAATATGCTGTCCCCATTATGATTTTTGGACTTTAAACTTTAGGAAAAAAATATTTCTTACTCTCTCAAGTTAAAACAGAAAAATTCTAATCTTTCAAATTTAGTCATAATTTATTAAAATGTGATTTAATCCCTAATTACTAAATTCTTATTCATGAACTTCGATCAGACTACTAAAAGTGTATTAGTGGACGATAAGCATGTAATGAGAAAAATACAAATAAGAATATGAAAGAAAGGGAATGAATATAAGGTATTCTGCATAATGCATTAGCATGTGAAACGTATTATGAGTTATCATGGATTCATGGCTAGCTGAACTTTTGTCATACCAACATACTTGTTCAAGAGCAAGGACTTGGAAAAGTGATTTTGCTCTACATTGCATAAAAAAGTTGGTCAGACACACCATCAAAATAAATGATAAAAGTGCGAATTTCCATTGGTGAAAGCTCCACTTTCAGCTCTTTTGGATCAACTGGTCCTCCCCTTGAAACATGTCTATTTCCAGAAGAGCCTTCTACTTTCCAAGCAAGTCTTTTTTTCTCCATTTCTGTTCTTTCTTGATTGGCAGATAAGTTCATCTCCTTTACCTCTTTGATCTATTTTTCCAGGGAAGAACTAAAGTTAGAAAACAAGCTAAAAAGAAGTCTTTAAAAAAATCTCTATCCTCTCATGAAACCTATCGCTTACTTTTCTCCCAGGGAAGAGCTTTTTCAGCTCAACAGTTGCTATTACAGAGAGATCCTTGTCTTCTTCAATCTGTGCATATGTTTGATGGGCCAAGAGAATGAGGAAGCAAAGCATGAAGCAAATTCATATTTCATAAATTAGTAATTGCATAAGAAAAAGACAATGAACAATCTAATGACCTTAAAATTCATAAGTAACAACCATGATGTATTTATTTAGTTGGCAAACAATCACAATGGCAGGAATCCATCTCTATAAAGAAAACTGCAATAGGTACACTGATTGCAATTATTATTTTAGAAGAAAAAAAAATGCATTCCCTTCATTCATGTATTAATTGGTGCACTTTATTTTCAAGGCCAGGCTTATACTTCATTCCAGCAAAACCATGACATAAACA